GCTGGGAACCCCCCCGGTTGGGGGTTTCGGTCGCTCTTGGCTGCCTCATTCCTTCCTCACATGAGTCTGCGGTGACAAATTCCACCATGTGGTGTGAAACTGTGTCCCTTCTCCGCTCTTTGGGAAGTGCTGTCATGTCCTGTAAGTGTGTCTAACCTAAGCACTGTGTGCTTTCTGTGTCACCCCCTTCCCTCCCTGCTCCCGAGTTCCTGTGCTCCTCAAAACAGTGGGAAGTGTTTCCTACTGGCTAAGCTGTGTGTGTACTGAGGGCTGGGAAGTTTGTTTAAAGGGAAGTCAATATGTGACTCGTTAACTCTGGTATAATGATGTCCTTTCTTGTGTCTGTTGCTGTCAGTGGAAATGCTCGGGGAGTCGGTGGGAACACGGTTTGCAAACAATTTCCTAACCATTTGAGAACACTTTCCTAAGTCCTGGTCTTAGGAAACACTTGACACCTGAGCTGGCAACCATGTCAGGGAGCAAACAGTTGCAGGATAGCTTTGCAGGGCTGTCCTGCACCCACATGGGCCTGTGACACCATGGGGAGGACAGGAGCTGAGAGCTCTGTCTGAGCAGTGGTGGTGACTCCATGTCAGGAGTAGCAGCTCCTGCCTCCCACACTGGGTTGGTAGGGAAGCAGTGGGGGTACCCTGTGGGCTGTGAAGTGCCCTCAATGCTGAGCTTGCAGAGATGAGGACACTTAGCTACTACCAGGGTCATCCCTATCCTATCCTGTCCTGGCAGGGCATGTGACAACTCTCCTGTGTCATGTCCCTTGTGCGTGTGACATTACTGAGTGATGATGCTGCTCACTCCTGCCATGTGCTGGCACTGCCTATCAGCTCACACCTCTCTGATCTCCTTGCAGACTTCGATGCTAAGAAGAAAAGAAAAGTGGCAGAAATCTACCAGGCTCTGAACAGTGACCCCATCGACGTGGCGGCGCTGAGGCGGATGGCAATCAGCGAGGGAGGACTCCTGACGGACGAGATCCGCTGCAAAGTGTGGCCAAAGCTGCTCAGTGTTAACACGGATGACCTGCCCCCTCTTCCAGGTATGGAACAGCCTGGACTCAGGTCCTTGAGAAGAGCAGCTCAGGGACCTTTGTCACTAGAGGGTGGATCTGTTTTCTGACCTGCCTTTTCCTGGTGTGTGGTGGTGTGTTTCCCACCAATCCCATGTGCAAAGAGGACTCACTGCAGCATGAACACTATGTTGTATGTAAATAGCAGGTTTGAAAATACAGAACTTCCTAAAACCAACACTTGTTGATTTTTTTAGGGACAGTGATGGAAATCACTTCACTGTGGGTGCAGTCAGTGTGGCCCTGAGTGTTAGGTGACACGTGTGAGTTCACCTGCAGCAGAAAGAATCAGTCTTAATTTGTGCTGCTCCCATGGAGAGGTGGCTGTGCTGAGCCCTGGCTTGGCCAAAACCCTTTCAAGGTGTCTCTCACAGGATGCAGTCATTGTGTGAAGCACATGTAGTGTTTAGTCAGAGCAGAATGAGGGAAAATGAGCTTCCCAATGAGGTACCTACATGGTTTTTAAACCTTAGCAATGCAGGAGCTTCAGGTCCTGTAGCTTTTACAGTCACTATCCCCAGGACAGGTTTTGTTGTTGTTCCTGGATCTGTGGCCATTTGGAAGTGTGCATCCCCCCACCTCAGTCAAGAACCAGGGCATGTTAGGTGACCAGAGCTGCTGGAAGACAACATTTAACTTCACATGATCACACAGACAGAATTTTCTGGCTCCCTGAACTTTTCTGGTTTAACTGTCTTAGCTAACCCTGGGTGGGGTTTTCTTCTGAATTGTTTCTGTTTAATAAATTATTCTTTGTGGTCTCCACAGCACAATTCCTGTGCTGCTGCTGAGTACTCTTTGAAATGCACAGCAAAACTGTGGAGCAGAGATGTTTCCAGGGATGCTGGGAGTGCTGTCAGTTTAAGCACTTTAACATGTGTTGTTTAAAGGAATAATTGTCTCCTTTGCTGTTAGTGTCAGAGTGTGAGGCACTGCCAGTGCAGGGCTGGTGTGTGACACGAAAAAGGGGATGTGTGATGGGGTGGGGTGTGTGTGCAGCCTCATCCCGCTGCCTTCAGCAGGGATCCTCCCAGTTGCCTCACCCTGCTCCCTTCCCAGTTCCTTTGCACTGCTCAGTGGTAATCCTATTCCTCTCTTCCTCAGCAGGGAAGGAGCTGCGAGAGGACAATAAGGATTACCAGCAAGTGTTACTGGACGTGCGGCGATCCCTGCGCCGCTTCCCGCCAGGTGAGGGGGAATTCTGCTCGTCCCACTCTGGGGGTGCAAGTCAATGCCATGGGGCTTCTCCTGGCTCAGCCCTCCCTGGGGGACTGCAGAAGGTGCCACTCCATTGCTCCAGGAGCCTGACTTCTAGAAAGCCTTTTCCTTGTGTGCTCACAGCAGCTGCATCATGCAGTGAAGCCCTTCAGCAGCTATCAGTTTCCTTCAGCTGCCTCTGCACAGCTGGGTCTATTGTGGGTCTTCCAGTGTTCCACTTCCCCTGCCCCACTGAGCCCCTCTGCCAGCAGGCTGGTACCAGGGAACAGTTGCAGCACAGAGAGGCTGGATCCTGTGCAGATCCTGTATGGATCCTGCATGCCCTCACCTGTTGAGATTAGGACAGATGGAGAGCTTGAGAAATGTGCCATTTGCTTGGGTTTATTTTAGTCCATGGTCTAGCTCAGGGGCAGGGAAAGCAGGTTTGCCAGTGCTTAGAACAATTCCTGGAGCAAAACAGTCTCCAAACCTGGTTCTTGCACCAAATTTAAAAGAACTGGGGCCATTTAGGAGCAAAACGGTTTTACAGTCATTCAGTTCTGATGGGAGGCTGATGCCTTGTTGTGTTATTTATAAAACACCGAATCCAGCAGCTCTCTGTGCAGAGCAGTCGTTATTTCTGGCCAGAATCTTCTTCCCCCACTTTCATTTTGTGTAAACAGTTGATTCACTCTGCTGTGTGCAGGCCCTGATTCCTGAAGGCTCTGCTCCTACGGATTTTTTTGCCCTTGAATGGCAGCCTCCTGCCTATTTTTAGCCGCATTAGTGAAGCAGAGGAAAAGGAGAACTTTGTCATTGCAGGATCTCCACTGGGACTCTCTGCTTGGCCTTTGGGCATTTTATCTGTTGACAGGGACTGCCAGAAACTGACTGCAGCTGTGCAGGGCAGGAACAATGTTTTCCCTGTGACGTCCTCTCCCTAAACACATGTTCTTAACAGGGGACCAACAGAAAGTTGTGCCAATGGAGGCCTCACAGCCTGATGCAGATGGCACAGTTTCTGTGAAAATGGGTCCTGTTGAATTTTATTCTAGAACTCCTGGGAAATTTAAAATGATTAAAATGTCCTCAGCAGTGTTGGATGTGCAGTGCAGTTTGCTCTTCACAGCACTGTACAAATACCTGCAAATCCTGCTCCCATCCTCCATGCAGCTTCCTCACAGGTAGAGGCACTGCAGCTCTGAAGATTAAACAACTCAACAACTGACCACCTTCCCCTGGGCCCAGCAGAGTTTTGGGAGACAGGATTAGAGCTTGGGATAGTTCTTTCTACCAGTTTTGCCTCCCTCCCTTGTGCACCATATCCCTCGGGGTTAGGTGGGTTGGTAAGTGCACAGGTGTTCTCCTTGCACACTGCATCCTGTGGCACTGGTAGGTGACACAGCTGTCCCACTCTGCCTGGTGCTGTCCCCACAGGGATGCCAGATGACCAGAGGGAAGGATTGCAGGAGGAGCTCATCGATATCATCCTCCACGTCCTGAAGCGCAACCCCCAGCTGCACTACTACCAGGGCTACCATGACATCGTGGTCACCTTCCTCCTGGTGGTGGGGGACAGGCTGGCCACAGCGCTGGTGGAAAAGCTCTCAACACATCATCTCAGGTACTCAGCAGGAGGAGAGGAGCCACCTGCATGTCCTCAGGCTCTGGGGGCACCTGTGAAGGTGGAGCTGGCCTGGAAGGGGAGCCCAGAAGGCAGAGCCTTAGGTTAAAACAGCTGCCTGTCATGCCCATACCCAGAGGGGTGCTGTGAGAGCAGCCTGACCACATGACAGCACGTGGCTTTGCAGGGAGCTGTGCCCAGGGGAAGGGATAATTGAAGGCTGTCAGTTAATTTGGAGCATCCGTTGGAGTTGGAAAAGCCAACGCACATGCATTATTCATGGTTCTGTGGCTGTAAGGGCCTCTCCAGGTCCTGGGAGCTGGCTCAGCACTGTGCCTCCCACTTGTCCTTGCACAGCCTGGGACAGCATAATCTGTGCTGCCCATGTCCTGAATCCACATCAAGTGACTCCCCTGTTTGTGCACTGAAATGAGAGCAAACCTCCAGCTGGGCAGTGTGTTTTTGAGGAACTCTCCCTCCTCTTCCAGACAGGGAGTCAGGTTTTTGGTGCTGGAAAGGCTTTATGTGCACTGCAGCAAAACAAGAAGTGTCAGCTGACAGCAGTGTGATGCTCTGGGTCTGGGTTCTGTGTGCAGGTCAACCCTGTGTGTCCCAGACAAGCAGGAAGGAGGCTGTCCCAAAGAGACAGAATTCCCTGGGGCCAGGGGCCTCCCTGCCAGCAAAGCTGTTTATTTCATGTACATTTATTTACCTTCTGCTGCCTCCCTGGAGGGAGAGCTCACTGATGTGGTTGTTTAACAAAGCTTCTTTTAAATCTTTCCTCAGGGATTTTATGGACCCAACGATGGATAATACCAAGCACATTTTAAATTACCTGATGCCCATCATAGACCAGGTGAACCCTGAGGTGCATGACTTCATGCAGAGGTATGCAGACGTTCCCTTGGAGCCTCCTGGCTCTCCCCTGACAGTTTTGGGTTACTGTTCACAGGGCTGGTAGGACCAGCACATCCCCAGCACCACAGTGGTTTACTTGACGAGTCAACAGCTGTCCCACAGCTGATGGTGACACTCCAAAGCCACGTGGCACTCCATTTCAGAGCAGGCTCAAACCTATACTGCCTGTCTGGAAGGGGTTTATGTGGTGCCATCTTCATCCCAGTGATCTGCAGTCCATATTGGGAAGGCTGGGCACAACCCCTTCACGTGTCTTGTGTGGCTGGTGGGACCTTGCTGCAGTTTGTTGCTAGTTCTGGGGATAATTCCCAGGTTTTGCATTAGGGACATACCAGTGTTGTCTGAGCAGATCAAAGCAGGAGCAGGAAGGTGAGTGGGAAGAGTCAGTCCAGAGCCATTTTTTGAGCAGATGTCTCTGTTATGTTTCATGGCCAGGATATCTTTGGGTACCAAGCCTGATTACAAACTCCCAGAGTTAATAAGCCCTTAGGATGGAAAGGAACCTATAAATCTGACTGTGCTGCAGGACCCTCATGCTAAGGAGCCAGACAGTGCCACGATATGTCACGCATTGTGTCCCCTGAAAGCAGAGCCTTTGGCCCTTCGTAGCCCCCACTGTTTGTGCCACGAGTCATGGCAGCACTTTCCTCTGGGGGTCAAAGGTGCAGTTCTGGCTCTGGACTGAGCTCAGTGCTCTGCTGACAGCTCCATCTCCCCTCCCAGGCAGGTGTTGCAGCACAGGGGTGGCCCAGGAGCATTTCAGCCCTGTTTCCAGGCTGACCTAACAGCACTTTCTCTCTGCAGTGCGGAGGTGGGAACCATCTTTGCCCTCAGCTGGTTGATCACCTGGTTTGGCCATGTTTTGTCTGACTTCCGGCACGTGGTGCGATTATATGACTTCTTCCTGGCTTGCCACCCGCTGATGCCCATTTATTTTGCTGCTGTGGTAGGTGTTGATGGAATAGTCACGGATTAACTGTGCCATTCTGAGGTGATGGGAGTTTGGGGCTGCAGAGAAGTGCTGACCCACCCAGTGCTGCTGCTGTCCCCAGCTCTGCAGGCCCCCAGTGATGTCCTTGGGGATGACAGAGGACCAGGGGATCCAGGGGAGCTTGGAGCAGCCTGGAGGGGTCCAGATGTGCAGGCTGTGCCAGTTCAGTGCCATGGAAACAGCTTGAAACTGTTTTCCTTTGCTTTCATGTGCTGGTCCTGCTTCTGGGCACATGCTGGGGTGCCTGGCTGGCTGGGGACAGCCCTGCACTGTGCTTCCCTTCCTCCTATAGGGGATCCAAAGAAATCTGTTTGAGGGCAAGTCATGCAGTCAAGCCCTGCTGAGGATCTGCCCACATCTCTGGCCTGCCAATAGCAGGCTCTGCTCAGCAGACAGACCTAACTGGCCTGAAAGAGGCTTTCCATGGCCTCAAGAGGCTCAGGAAGGGTTTGGCATTTCTATTCGCAGACAGTGAATGCTTCACTGCAGTGTGTCCCCTTGAGGGGAAGGTCTTTCAGCTGGAAGTGAAATGTTTTTCTCTTCTGGCTCTGAAACAAGTGCCAGTATGTGCCAAGGAGTTGTCCCCACTTCCCCCAGCTGTCCTCACTCCTCTCGCTCCTCTCTGCAGATCGTGCTGCACCGGGAGCAGGAAGTTCTGGACTGTGAGTGTGACATGGCCTCTGTCCACCACCTCCTGTCCCAGATCCCACAGGACCTTCCTTACGAGTCTCTGATCAGCAAAGCTGGGGACCTTTTTGTCCAGTTCCCACCATCTGAACTTGCCAAGGAGGCAGCTCAGCAGCAGGCTGAACGGTGAGTGCTGGGCAGCCCATGTGTTCCCTACATCCCCTTGCCATGTCTTGCTTCCTCATGGAGATCTCCTCCCTGGTTGGTCCCCGAGGCAAGCTGGGGTCACGCCTTGACTGTTGCTTCTCTTGCAGAACTGCGGCTTCCACGTTTAAGGACTTTGAGTTGGCATCAGTGCAGCAGAGACCAGACACTGTGTTGAGGCAGCGCTTCAGGGATCGGCTCCGAGGGGAGGAGCGGACAAAATCCATCTTGACAAAGCCCCGGACCAACCGCTTTGTCAAGCTGGCAGTGATGGGGCTGACAGTGGCCCTGGGAGCAGCTGCCCTGGCCGTGGTGAAGAGTGCACTGGAGTGGGCACCCAAGTTTGAACTGCAGATTTTCCCCTGAAGCCAGAGGAAGGGCCTTCCCTGTTGCCGTGTCCTTCCCTGGTGGGAGGGGCTGATGTGGAGGACCTGTCTGGAAATGACCTGTCTGAAGATTATTTTTTATTCTTGCTGCGTCCAGTGACGCTTTTGGCCTTTGTGACAGAGACTGAGGGAACCAGCCCAGCAGGATGGTTCCCCACACCGTGCTCACCTTGTTCCCCTCTCCCCGTGCAGGGGTGAGCAGACAGGCACTGCCACTGTCCCGTGAGGAACCGGAGGTACGGATGAGTCTGGCTGTTCAGGCTGTGCTCAGGTGACTGTACAAGGGGAGAGCTGTGTGTGGGCTGTGCTGGAATGTTCCTGCGTTCTCTACTGGAGAAAATTAGTGGGAGTGAGAGCAGATCCTCGCCTGGAGGAGGAGTGTGTCCCTGCAGGGTTTGGCCTGGGTGTGTGAGGGCAAAGGGTTGTTGCACTCCTGAGGAACAGGGCAGCCCTTTGGCTCCTCATTGCTCCACCATGCCCTGTCATCTGCCTTCAGCTTTGCCGGTGCTCCAGCCCTTCCCTGTCCTGTAGGCACCTCTGAGTAGAGCCAAACCTTTCACACATCCCCATCAGCACACCATGAGCTTCTCTCCAGTGTGTAGCACTCCCTGGCTCTTTGCTTCCTCATCTTTGCAGCCTGATCTGTTTATGGGAAGGAGGGCAGGGGACAGCACACTCCTTAGCTCAGCTCAGCATTCAGGCACTGCTACTCCTTCGCTGGCAGCACCGTGGTCGTATCTGGGGTCAGTGAGGTGAGACACGAGGTGTGTGCTGTCATGTGCCAGGTCACATCACCACAAGTCTTGGTGGCACTGTAAGCACCCATTGCAGACTTTAACAGCTCTGGAAGCAGGCAGTAACAGGGAGAAAGGCTTTTTCCACCTTGTGAAACACTGTACAGGACCATAAATCTGCCCCATGAGCTGATCAGGCTTCAGCATTGCCTCTGGGATAACACAATAAGGGGGTTTCCCAGAAAGGCCACCCTGACCCCTGCATAGCTCCCATCTCCCCACCAGCCCCATTGGCAGTCCAGTGCTCCCTGTCCTCCAAGCTAAGCAGCAAATCCTTCTAAACAACTTGGTGTCCCACTGAGACAAAGCCAATAGACACTCTATGCCTCTACCTCTCCCCCAAGCTGCTAAACCTCCCTCAAGTGCCCTTACCTGTCCCTCACAGCTCCCATCTGCTCCCTGTCATTGTTCTGTTGTGCCCAAAGCCATCTGTGCCGTGCCCTGGGGCTGTACACCTGAAAAGGAGGTGTTGGTTGAAGAGTTAGGGATTTTGGGACAGAGAAGAAAATTCATGCCCTGCAAAGGTCAGCACCCCCTGTCCCATCCCACTGCCTGTTGGTCTGTAACTGCCCCAGGCATGTTCTGGTTTGCCCTGTGGGCCCTTGCTCATGGAGGGGCTGTGCCTTTCTGGCCAGAGAGCAGGTGGGCAGTCATCATTCCTGACCTGTGTTCCCAGGAAGCTCTGAGCAGGGGAGTTCCCTTTGCCTCAGCAGGTGAAGTCCATAGTATGTGAATCTGCCCTTACCAAGCAGGGCAGCAAGACCTGTTCCCTCTTCTCCTCACTGGTGCCAGCAGCCACCAGTGCCCATGGACAGAGCCAGGGCTGCTCAGGGGGCTCCTCCTGGCGTGGCTGAAGGCAGAGCCCATTCCTGGCCCTTCGGCATCCCCCAGAGCAGCAGAGCAGAATGCAGGGCTGGGTCACTTAGCACTTTAGAAACAGGTGATGCCAGAGAGTGTGGTGACCTGGGGGTGCTGCTGAAGGGCCCAGGAGCCCTCTGTACACTGCCCAGAAGGAGGGGATGGCTAGAGCCCCACCAGAGGAGCCTCTGCAGCCCCCCAGCTCCCTGGCCATGATGCACTTTAGTTCTTGCGTTGTCCCTGGGGGAGGAAGGGCCTGGGAGGAGATGGTTGCTGCGGGTGCTTCAGTTACTCCGTACAAAGACTTACACACCCCCTGTAAATGCGGATTTCTACAAACCCTATAACTGTAAAATAAACAGTTACTAAACACACTTCCTGCCCTCCCCCAGGTCGGGGCTGCCAGATCTTCTCTCGTGGCACTCTGTGGCCCAGAGCTGGCACCTTCTCCATGGCAGCCAGGCCAGCTCTGCGTGGCCTCACACCCAGCATCCCCGTGGGAAGAGGAGCAGGAGTGGAGCCAAAGGGTGTGTGCATGCCCCGGTCACTGCTCTCCTTCCATCTGCCTCCCCTTGGGCAAATGCCAGGCCTTTTGTGTGCCACTGGCTCTCCGGGCTGTCCCCCCTTTTCAGCAGCCTGGGGGCTGTAAATAGCCTGACCTCCTGGCCCCCCTGCACCCCGGGCCGGGTGCCTGGCTGTGGGAGGAGATCCTGGGCATGGTGCCTGCTTCCCAGGGCACGCTCTGCTGAGCCGGGTGACGCAGCCACCTTGCCGGGCCGGGAGCAGGCTTGGCCGAGTGGCTCGAGGCTGGCGGCTGTGTTGGCTATTTTTAATT